AGCACTGCTCAACAATAGGTCCACAGAACAAAAACATCTCTATATTATCAATGCTGTCTCCAGCACAAATCCAAAACATATCCCCACACTAGCTACTATGAAGAAAAATCCATCCTCTCAGCTGAAACCAGGACACAGCATTATGGGTTTATTATGTAACAATTCGAGATTTCCTCATTTAGATTGCAAGCACTTAAGGTGAATATATATTAGCCATAATTTATTGTGTTTGCTCGGGATTGGAAAGAGGGAACATATCCAATGTCCACAATATTAGTTTAATTTCATCCAGTTATTTCATAGCTAAATAAGCTCTCATTGAGCAGAACTGAAATCCTCTTTTTTTTTTGTTTCTCTCTGATTGTGGTAAACATTGTGGAATTGATTAAAAATAAAGGATAGCCTAGCTTGAACATTTGGGTGAACCCTGTGACATAATGAACACGTAAATGTCATACAAAAGTGCTATACTCAGTACACTGCATAACTTTCTAGAATACATTAAAATTTGTATTTATGGTATAGAATGTAAGGATTGGTAAAAAGCACAGCTACTCTGAAACTGATGGTGAACACCTAACTGCCACAGGACCAGAGTTTAAATGAATACTCTAAATCCTTGAAACAATCTGATTGTTTTGTCTCGTCTTATTAATAACAAATACCATTTTCAGTTTTTCCTTAAAACTAATATATTGAATAAAGCAAGAAACAGTTTTAATACTCTTAAAAATTTTTTCTCACTTTTAGATTTTTGAAGTGTGTATGTCTGACTCAAATGATTTTTAAAGAAGAAACAAGAAAAATGTTAAAAATGAGTAATGGTCACAAGACATAACACATGAAATAGATTGAAATAACATAAGTGATGGGCAGCTGAATGACTTTATATAGTTAGGCTTTCAGTTCCTATTTCTGAGTGGAAAATTTCCCAAAAAGCAGAGGAACTTCACTGGTATTTATGAGCAGGTGATCTACAGTAATAACATGCAGCCTGCCATAAAAGAGGGGGAAAACAAGCATACCTTACATGTACTACTGAATATTTGTTCCTGGAGATCTAGCAAACTGTTGTATCACTACACAGAGTATAAAGGAAACCTTATTTTAATTTTCTTCTATTGCCAAACTTTATACAAACAGATATTTTCCCTTTCCAGAG